TCCAGTTGCTCACACAGGAATCTAGTAACACTGTAAGTCATGCAGATCGATGTGCAAATGACTTTTTCACAGCTTACGCATTTCTAAAAACTGACCAGATATGGACCTCGAAGGGAGACAGAACATGCTGCCCTGATGAAGTCTTTCCTATTTGTGATCTGTATCAGCTTCATCACAGAAATTGTGTAGTTCAGGTTCTCTAACTCTGCATATAGAAAGGGGTTTGTAAGTTTTGATATAATGCAGCTTTTATTTCAATTAATGATATATTGCAGCTGAAGAGTCATTTATGAATTAAGTGTTCACCACAAAAATTCCAACTATATTTCTGCTTCATACTTTCTTTTAAAAAATCATTAATTAAGTTTATGGAGGTCTCATTGACATACAAAACTCGTTGTTATGGTTTTTTCTCTTGTGATGAGAATTCTAAGATCTACTCTCTTAGCAACTTTCAACCCCCCCCCACTTCTGACAGCCACCAACACGTTCTCCATATTTATGTGCTTGTTTTTTGTTTCTTTATTTATTATTTTTGGTTCCACATGTAAGTGAGATCATACGGTATTTGTCTTGCTTTCTGACTTATTTCACTTAGCATAATGCCCTCCAGGTCCATCCATGTTGTTGTAAATGGCAACATTTCACTCTTCTTCATGGCTGAGTAATATTCCATTGTCTGTTTATCATCTATCTATCTATTTATCTCACGCTTCCTTATCCATTCATCCATCAATGGACACTTAGGTTGTTTCCATATCTTAGGTATTGTAAACAATGCTGGGATGATCAAGGAGGGTACATAAATCTTTTCAAGTTTGTGTTTTCTTTTCTTTGTTTAATACCAGACATGGGATTTCTGGATCATATGACAGTTCTATTTTTAATTTTTCTGAGGAGACTCCACACTGTTTCCACACTGTTTTCCACTGTAGTGGCTGCCCCAATTTACATCCCTGCAAACAGTGCACAGGGGCTCCCTTTTCTCCACATCTTCACTAACACTTGTTATTTCTTGTCTTTATAATAGCCAAGCTCCATACTTTCTTAATTTAATAATAACACATTTTTACCATGACACTGTGTGACCTCAGCATGTGTATTTGTTTTATCTCAATGAAAACAAGTAGTGACATCATTAATATTGACTTTTTAGCTGAGTTTGCATTTACATCTTGCATTTTCAAAAACACCACGGGACCCATCTTCAACGGAATAAATGTTCGAAGCTTTACTTGTATTTAATGATTTGAATAAAAATTAAGCAATTTTTAAAATTAGCTTAATTGGCTTTTCTATTTGAAACATCTGATAACACAGGTGGCAAACTGGCGTCAGTTCACGGTTGGTGGAACTCTCCTGCTGGTGGAGCCATCACGGTAACAGCTATCACTTCATCTTTAAATGCACAAGCAAACTTGAAGTTGAAAATGAACACAGTTAATTAGAATGGCCATTTGCTCTAAATGAAGTCATACCTCACAGAGTGACAGCCACACTCCGCTGACTGTGATCAGCCTTTGTCTTTGCTGGTCTCCAAAGAATGATGCTCACAGACGTAGTAAACAATCTTATGGTTATTAGAGGGCAAGGGGGCGGGAAGGGATAAACTGGGAGTCTGCGATTTGTAAATATTAACTACTGCACATAGATAAACAAGTTTCTGTGTGTGCTTTATGTAGAGCACAGGCAAGTATACTCAACACCTTGTAGTGACCTTCGACGAAAAGAATGTGAAAACGCGTGTGTGCACGTACATGCACAGCTGAAGCGTTGTGCTGCGCACCAGAAACTGGCGCCTTGTGATTGACTGTGCTTCACAAAAACAAAGAAAGAGGGACTTCGGAGTGAGCGCTGACTTACTCAGCAGACCTGTGCCTTCTGCTTCTCACATGATCAGTGATGTCACTGGATGTGGAGGTGGCCACTCAAACGTATGGCACCTGTGATACCACCGCCACAAATAACAACAGTGTGGTTATTTGCCCCGCAGTGGAGAGATTATAACCAGAGGTGAAGGTCTTGTCTCCCAGCCCCACCCCAGTGTGACAGACGCAGGGTGGGGAGTCCAGCACTGTGACGCTGGGGTTGGATAATTGCTTGGGGTGCCCTGTGCACTGCCGGGTGTTGAGCAGCATCCTGGCCTCCACCCACCAGGTGCAGAGTGTCCCTCCGCCTGGATGTGACAACCGTGCTGTCTACAGACACTGGCCATGCCTCTGGGCGCCGGGGTGTTGGACAAAGGGAACAGCTGCGGTAGACAAATCCGTGGCTCTGTCTGAGCTGTTTCCCCTTTAGTAAAAGGGGAGGCAGGACCGTTCTTCTGTGTCACTCATGGGGAGGGGGTGCAGGGGGGTGCTGGGGTTCACAGAGTTCCCTGCTGGAAGGCGGGGTTCCCAAGGGCCCAAGCACACGCCAGCACAGACAACAGATGGGGGCCCAGCCACTTCTCCTGTGGGCCCAGTGACCGCTCCTGCCTGGCCCCCAAACTTGCCCCACCTATGCTGCCCTGACCTGGTAGGTGACGGCTGCCTCTGGCTGGCTCGCCTCTTGTTGGTGCTGGAAAGGCAACTGCCTTACGCTCTGACAGTCAGTCAACACAAGCCAGCTGCACACACTGTTACGCTGTTGTTACGCTGGCTGTTACGAGGGTCCTGAAAGTTTAAGGTGCAACCCACGCTCCCCCAATTCACCATTTAGTCAGGGAGACAGAGAAGAAGCATGCGTAACAAGAGCACATGAGGGAGAGGGTGTGTTTCTCAGCTTCCTTCACTGCCATCCAGCACCCAGGGCATGTCTGGCACACGGCAGGTGCTCAGCAAAGATCACGGGAGGAGTGAAGGAGCTCCGGGGAAGAGCGCAGTGAGAAGGGCGGCCCCAAGGCGGGGGCCTGCCCGCCTCCGGTCCAGCGCCACCTTCTCCCTGACCAGCCGGCCTTCAGAGACGTCTGGTGAGGCTGGCGGGGCTCTCCTCCCGGACTGCGGGCCCTGCCGCAGGCACAGCCTTGTCACCCATGGCACAGATGCCCCCTTCCCTCTCCAAGGACCACCGACACTCACACCATTGGAAATGGCGGTGGCTGTGAGGCCCGGAGGCTGGTCCTGCCAACAAACGTGCTTCCAAAGAAGCAGGTGCGACTGTATCTAACTTTGATTTTTCACATTCTGATGACGGCACTTTAACATCACTGGTTGCCTTCGGAATCCTACAGGTGTTTTCTTAACATGTTAACCTGAGAAATATTCGCGGCCTGAAAATGTCAGGAGCCCCCACTCAACATCAGAGCCATCTCTGCTCCGGGCCCCCTTCTCGCTGGGGGCCGCCCTCCTCCCTCCCATCCGCCTCGTCCCACCCCTCCAGGCGGCAACCAGCCGTCTGCCTTTTCACAGAGAGCTGCGCTTTACGGAACAGCCCAGCCCCACCCAGGAAGCCGAGGCCTCTGGGAGCTGCCCACCCCTCACCACCGTCATCCTGGTCAGATTCACCTGGTTCACGTCCCCAGGAACTCCCATTTCATACGGATGAAAGCGTAGCCACCCATAGTCGAAGCTGGGGCGGGATCGGCCAAGCCTGGGGGGCCCGAGGAGCCAGGCCTGCTCCCCCCACCGGGTCCTTTCTGGGCTCGCTTTTCCCCTCTAGAAACGGCCCAGCCCTGTTTTCTTGGCTCACAGGCCGTGTCACAGGTGAGGTCATCCTTGGAGCACCCCAAGAAGATGGAGAGGGTGCTATTTACAACCTTATCAGATCCTTTCCCTTGTGGTGCTGGGAGTCCCCAGGCCCAGCCCAGGCTGGGGCCCGCTCCCCACGGCCCGGAGGGGACAGGTGGAGGGGGCGGCTCAGAGGGCTCACCCTTCTGACTCCACAGACAGCCCCGGAGTGAGGGACACCCCTCACTCCTTTGGGGGGTGCGCTTCCCCTCCGTGGTCTGACCTGTTGGCTCCGTCACTGCTTCCTGACATCAGGGGAGGCCCAGGTGGGCACAGGTGTCCAAGGGCGTCCCACGTGGGGAGGCTGTGGCGGGCAGGAGGAGAGCCCAGCTTTGGGGCCTGCAGATCTGCGCTCCCAGCCGGGGATGGCCGGTTCCCGGGCCTGGCTCAACCTCAGTTTCCCCGAGTGTAGAACAGGGTTGGTTCCCACCTTGGGTGGGGTTACATGTGCAGTGCACCTGGGGAGCCCCCAGCTCGTGAAGCTTGGTATAGAGGCCTTTCCTTCCACCTCGATGGAAGGGTGGTGAGGACCAGCCAGCTGTCTGAGGCCTACTGCGCCCCCGTCCAGTGCAGACACAGGACCCCAGCAGAGGCTGGGCCTGCTTGAACTATTTCTGTGACAGCACCGGCCGGCAGGGCCCAGGCTGGGATAGCCTGGGGCTCGGGACAGTCAGTCCTTCCGCAGTGGCGATGAGTCAGCCTGCTAACTGCTGCCGGTGGTCAGCGATGTTTGTCAACATCTGACCCCCTGCCAGGGGGCTCTTCCTTGACTGTCTGAGGGGCGCCCACCCCAGAGGGAGTTTGGGGCCCTATTCATGGAACAGCTGGGCACTGAGGGCAGTGCCCTGTAGCCTCCCGTGCGGGGCGACGTCCCACAGGCCCTGAAGCAGGTGTTTCTGTGACATCAACACACGAATCCCACCCCACAGAGACGCCCACGCCTTCCACGTCTGCCCACCGACACCCGAGCGCTTTGGGGCCCCTAGAACACAGCAAGGTCATTACAGCTGCATCTTCCATTCTCCACGTGGCAACACCTCCCGCGCGGGAGGAAGGACTCCGAGCGGCTGGAGTTGGCTCGTCCTCATGGTTCTCATGCCAGAATCTTCCTTTCCAACGCGGCCCTGGCTTTCCGCGCTTGCGGGAGCCAGCAGTCACCGCCAGGGAGCACAGAGACTCTCAAGAGCTCGGACAAAGCTCACAGGCCTTGCTTGGAAAGGGGGTGACACGTCAGACTGCTTTGGAGAGACCGAGCCGCCATGTCAGGGGACAGGCCTGGAGGGGTCTTAGGCGCAGAACGTCCAGGTAGCTGCTTGTTTCTGACAGTCCTGCTCCAAGGAAAACCCCTGCCTCCCTCCCGTGTCCTCGGGCGCTCACCTCCCCTAGGTGCTGCGCTCGCTGCTTTCACAGCATCTGTTCTCCCCAATTCTCAGCGACCTTTTGGAAAGGTCTGATTGCTATCCCATTTGACAGACAAGGAGACTTGGGGGGTGAACTCTCTGCCGGAGGCCCGGTGGAGCTGGTGTTGGTGGATTTGCGCCCAGGCCCATGGGACACCTGCCTCCCTGACTCCTACACTCTGCTCCCCGCCCCCCAAACCTGGCCGGCCATGGGGGCCACACTGCTGTGACTGCACCTGCTAACACAGGAAGGAGGCTCTGGGCCCCGCAGGTGGAGCTGGCCCAGAGATGGGGGTTCCATGAGCGGGACTCCCCGGGGTGCTGGTCTGATCTGGGAAATGGACCAAGGCTGACGTCACATCCCGTCTCACGCTCCTTTCCTTAAATCTTGTGGCCCCGGCCGACATTCCTGTCCCACTTCAGGTTTCCAATAAGGAGACACTTTCGGTCCTCTTTGTGCTTCGGAGGGATAAACCGGGAGTTCGGAATTTGCAGGCACACACCACTATATACAAAATAGATATACAGCAAGGCCCTACTGTACAGCACAGGGAACTATATTCAATAGCTTGTAATAGCCTATAATGAAAAGAATATGAAAAGGAATATATATGTA